GACGCCGGAGTCAAAGCATAGGATTCGAGCTCGTCGGAACAGACTTTAAATTCGAGCTCGTCGGACTCGAACCCTTGCTTCAAATTCGGTACAAACCCACTGCCACTCGGCCACCAAAGAAATCTGTTCCCTCTCTGGTAAGTCAACTTATTCGTTCAAAAGTTTGTTTTCTGTGATTCCCCTACAAAATTTTGACAACACCGTCCTCCCGGCGCTCTGCTACGGGACAGAGACCCTGGGCCACGACCTGGGCCACGACAGACCAGAAATTGATAACCTCTACCACAGTTTGTTTGATTTTTGATGGCGCTTTGATTTACGGATAGTTGCACACAGGAATGGCTGCAACGCAAGAGAATTCCTCTTCTCTCCTAGTCGGGATCATTCAATTTCTCCAGATTGAAACCAAACTGGCAATCAAATATACTTCGTGGCCTGTACAACTATCCGTAAACTTCTGCGCTTATAACCCTTGTGAGTTAGCGTTCTAGACATGAACTCTACAAAACTATTACCGTAAATACTCTAATAGTACCCCACCCCCTCGTACAGTCGCGTAGTTTTTAGTATTTCATTTTTTCAAAGCGCCCGTACTTTCAAAAATGGTCGTTTGGTATCAAAAAATAGCTGAAATTCAGGGCTATTTTTGATACCTAAACGAGCATTGTAGCATAAGCCAGTGTCGAGAAAACGCGTTTTTTCGGGATGGTTGCGTAGTCTAACTTTAAACATCCCGTTCTCTGCAAGAGTTTATGCTATAATGCGCACTTTGGCATCAAAAAATAGCCCTGAATCTCAGCTATTTTTGATACCTAAACGAGCATTGTAGCATAAACCAGTATCGAGAAACACTCCGTTCAAAGCGAGACTATGCAGCACTCCCGCACCGTCATTATGGGGGTGGGGGTTACTATTACAGTATTTACGGTAGTTATTCAGTTAGTTATTTATCCAGTAACTAGTTAGTCTATCCAGTTAGTTATTCACCTATTCAACTAGTTTTTATCCAGTAACAGTTATCCAATTTTATTCCACTCAATGAATCTAGACAGCTCTTTTTCCATTTTCTCAGATCACAAAACTGGTCGTCGATGGATCATTTTATGAAAGTCGCCTTTTGGTATCAAAAAAATAGCCCTGAATCTCAGCTATTTTTGATACCTAAGCGAGCATTGTAGCATAAACCAGTGTCGAGAAACACTCGTTCAAAGCTAGAGCTACGCAAGACTCCGCACCGTCATCATGGGGCTGGGGTACTATTACAGTATTTACGGTAGCTACAAGGAAAACAAAATTACGCTAGTCTTTCAATCTTCCAATGTTTTAGAAAACGTATTACTAACGAGGAACTAGAAGTCAGCCTAGCTAGCCAGAACTAGCCAAAAACGTAGCCTTTCTGGTGTACTCAATTCCCTTTGCCCAACAATTGACTCGAAAGGGTTAGTGTGCCTAGAAATGGTGCTTACAAAGTCGAAATCAGCTTTATAAACTAGCCAAAAACGTACCCTTTCTGGTGTACTCAATTCCCTTTGCCGAGCGATTGATTGGCAAGGGTTAGTGTGCCGAAATTGTTAGTGGAAAAGAAAGCGAAAGCCAGAAATAGTGCTTAAAAAGTAGAAATCAGCCTTACAAACTACAAGTTCAGACTACAAACCATTGTAGAGCTGCGTAGAATCAATATTTTAAAAACTTTTTTTACCAAAAATTCCGCAAACAATAGGCTTTCGAATGAAAATAAAACCAAGAAAATCCACGATTTGTACTCCGAGAACGAGGCATTTATAGCCGTTTGTAGTCCTTTCCAAACTACAAACGCAAAAAGCTATATATCTCAGTGCTCAAAACATTACTTGGCTTGATTTTTGTGTCATTCGAAAGCCCGAAAGTTGGCTCTGGATTTTTGTTGAAAAACTTTTCAAAATATCGATTCTACGCGTTTTACAATGCTTTGTAGTCAGTCTTTGTGGTTTTTAACGCTCATTTCTAGTTCCTCGTTAGCAATACGTTTTCTAAAGCATGGGAAGATTGAAAGACTACCGTCATTTTGTTCTCCTGATTTTGTCCTTCTTTTTCTTGTCCAATTTACAATGAATTCGATTTGATTAAACAAGAAATCAAGCTTTAAAGCAAATGCAATCAAAATAAAGCATAAAAGCAATGCTTTAAAGCAATGCTTTTAAAGCAAATGTAATCAAAATAAAGTAATAGAAAGGGGAAAACTTGGAAGGAAAGTTTACGGTGATCTCCCAAATTACTTTTAGATCTTTTAGAAAAGCTTTTATAATAATACTTTATTCAAACGATAAAGTGAAAGAAATCATAGAGAAATGCACAGTGATACTTAATCATATTGGGTTGATGCATAATTATCCGGACTTCTTTTATAAATGATTTTATTTAACAAAAAAATAACATAAATAGTTAGAAAAATATGTTTAATTGATTATTCTGGAGCATATTCACCGCCTACATCAATAACTGATTGCCATTTGCTTGGAAGACGATCGATTCCACGAGCGAAGAATAAACGATCTTTGGAGGCAATCCACGCTTTAACATCGTCTATCAAGTCATCCAAATCGTTGTAGATCTTATTTGTTTGCCAATTTTTGAGCGATCGATTGACGTGGTAGTCCGTTGGGGCTTCTCCAGTTCTTTGAGATCGCGAAACGACTCTGCGGCAGACCATCCCTTTTCGAAGTGGTAGAGCATGATATGGCGAAGATGGATATGATTGTCGACACGCATTTTGTTCACTAAAGAATAACGAATATTTTAAAAAAAGAAATAGACAAAAAGCTTTCAAAACAAAAAGATACAAGCACGCAAAAAGAAGTCCGGATAATTATGCATCAACCCAATACAATACATACTGAAATCAATAAGCCAATTACTTCCGGCAAAGAGCCACTAGATCTAAAGCATCGATACGTTTCTTGAATATGAAAAGCGACTGAATTTCTCGTATGTCGTTTGGGAGCAAGTTCCATAATCTTTTTTAATAATTTTATCTTTTAGAACTTTTTAGAAAAGTTCTAAGAATATGCAGATGAAATCTAATCAGAAATGAATACGAAAGATTTCGTGCTTTCACTTTAAACCCTCAAAAACCAAAACCTGGGAGATCCTGAAGTAAAGGAGATCCTGGATATACATTTCGGTGTCCCCCTTGGTGTCTTTTCGGTGTCCCCTTTTGTCCCCCTTGCCAGAGGCATTTGGATTTTCTCGACGCAGAATTTATTAATTTGACTGTTTTTGGTCTTATGCGATGCGTCTATTTGTCCTCTATCCAATGGAAACCAAAAACAGTCAAATTGATAAATTCTGTATCGAGAAAAATCCAAAATGCCTCTGGCAAGGGGAAAGCTAGTGGGACAAAAGGGGGACAAGGGACACACACCGAAATATACAATCCTAAGGCCCTTTCCTGGCGACCATGCGAAGCGTTGCTCATTGTAGCTCATTGTAGCTCATTGGTAGAGCTCATTGGTAGAGCGTTCGCTTGCGAAGCGATTGGTTTGACGCTTCGCGGGTTCGATTCCCGGTGTTGACTAGTCGCAATTCAATTTCTGTTCATTTCAATTCAATTTCAATTCATTTCTATTCATTTCAATTCAATTTCTATTCATTTCTATTCAATTTCTGTTCAATTTCTGTTCAATTTCAATTCAATTTCAATTCATTTCAATTCCAGAAAAGAACCGGTCCAACTCTGACCAAACACTGCGATTTTGTTCAAACCTTTGAATTTTCAAGGGTTAAAAGATCAAAGAATACATGGAGACTTTTAAAGTGAAAGTAATCATTGACTAAACATGAAAAAGAAAGCATTGACTAAACATGAAAAGGAAAGCATTCATTTGCAAGCTGACCATAAATAGTGTTACCAATTCAGTGATCCGACTTGTAATCCTTATTTCAATTCCGGTACTCAATTCCTCAATTCCTCAATTTCTCCATCAATTTCTCCATCAATTTCTCCATCAACAATTCGATTTGTGTTCTTTCTTTCGCTCCTTTTATTCCATTTCGAAAAAGCTTTCCTGATTTTTGTTGTTTTCTAGAGAAAAAACATGTGCTTCTTGGGTGTAATTGGGTCTTATTGGGTTCTAGTTTCCTTTCTTTCTTTCTCTCGAATCATCGTAATCCATTCTTACGAATTTCTCAACTCAATTTTATAGCTCTCTGAAGAAAGCAAAAGTTCTAATCATAAATGAGTTGAACGGAATGAAAAACTAAGAAAACAAAGGAGTATTCTTGGAGTTCTTGGAGTTATTGGAGTTCTTGGAGTTCTTGGAGTTATTGGAGTTCCTGGAGTTCCTGAAGTTCTTGGAGTTCTTGGAGTTCTTCGAGTTCTTGGAGTTCCTGGAGTTCTTGGAATTCTTGGAGTTCTTGAAGTTCTTGGAGTTCTTGGAGTTCTTGGAGTTCTTGGAAGTTCTTGGAGTTCTTGGAGTTCTTGGAGTTCTTGGTGTTCTTGGAGTTCTTGGAGTTCTTGGTGTTCTTGGAATGTCTTGGAATTCTTGGAGTTCTTGGAATTCTTCGAGTTCTTGTTCTTGGAGTTCTTGGTGTTCTTGGAGTACTTGGAGTACTTGGAGTTCCTGGTGTTCTTGGAGTTCTTGGTGTTCTTGGAGTTCTTGAATTTCTTGGAATATCTTGGAATTCTTGGAGTACTTGGAGTTCCCTGGTGTTCTTGGAGTTCTTGGTGTTCTTGGAGTTCTTGAAGTTCTTGGAATATCTTGGAATTCTTGGAGTTCTTGGTTCTTGGACTACAGCAGATTTTCTAAGAGTCCACGTTTTAGAAAGCACAAAAGAATACGGTAGCTATCTATAAAGCTACGGTAGTTATCTATAAATAGCTAATGCAAAAAAGTTCTGTAACTCCTATTCAAAAATCTCTTTCCAGGGCTGGCGTCCTCTTCCCTACACGAGTTCCTATCCGGCATCAAAAGCTGCAATCTCTTTCTTCACCGATGCACTCACCGATGAATTCCGAGACACAAATGTCAAAATTCAGGTTTATTCTAACAATTTTGAACTCAAAACTCAACTATATTGTGGAATATTATTATAAATATACATTCTAGTTAGGGTGGTGCGAAAGAAACTGCCGATTTGACGGTAAATTTAAAAAAAAACATAACATCAAAGTGAGAAATCTTTATTCATTGAAATATTCACCACAAGCATCGATGACTTTGCTCCATCGAACGCGAAGAGACCGAATGCCATCATCGAAGAACTGGGACTCCTGGGACTCAAAATAGTTGAGCACCCAGTTACGAACCTCATCATAATGCCGTTAGCATCGCTCGTTTCTGATAAATGAGAGCTGATACCCATCGGCTGTTTCTTTTGCACCACCCTAATAAATTATGACGTTAGAGGGAAAGAGAGACCTTTAGGGGAAAGAGAGAAAGAGAGGAAAGAGAGGAAAGAAAGAGATCTTTTTTTCTCATCCTCCTTTTAGAAGCTGGCATTCATTTGTTTAGAATCATTATTTAACTTGCACTCTTTAATTTGATTTGATTTACTTCCAGAGTTTCGACTCTGCAAGCATTAGATTCAGTACTCCTTTAAGGAAAGTCTTTTCCACTAACAATTTTTACCTTTTAACACTAGACTTGCTGGTAAACCGTGTCTTATTTCAAGCCAACTTTTATCTTTCTTAGCATAAACAGCTAGCTTTCTTTCTTCCTTCCTTCCTTTCTTTCTTTCTTGTTAGCATAAACAGCTAGCTAGCTTTCTTTCTTTCTTTCTTCGATAGCATAAACAGCTTTTACAAAGTAGAAAGTACTTATTTAGTGTCTGGTTCCAATGTTGGTGGCTACAAGCTTAGCGAGTTATGATAAATCCGAAGCCAACGATATTTTCGTCGTTTCAACCGAGACTTTTGCGAAACAAGCTGTTCACGCAATCGGCAATTTCGAGTTGATTTGTGGTTGTTGGCAGCACGATTTGCAGGTTTATTGTAAAGCAAAATACAAAATAAAATGTAAGAAAGAAAGAAAAAAGCTAAAGAAATAGATTTAAAAACAAACATTAAAAGCAAAGAAAATGTGAAGCAACTTTTACTGGAGCTTGAAAGAATGGCTCAGCTTCGTAGCCCGTAACCCAATTCATCTACAGGGTGCGTCATAATTATTGCAACAAGATACTCAAGGCATTGCACACCAAGAAGTTTCACTGGAAAAAGAAGAACAGAAATAGCTTTATTTAACAGTAAAAAATAAGAAACAAGAGATCATTCGATATGACCGCCTTTTGCCTTGATAACAGTCCTTAATCGGTTCGGATATGCCTCCACTGCGGCCCGAATGTCATCTTGAGGAATCGCCTTCCATCCTTTGGTCAAATCATCCTTTGTGTTTTCGAGAGCAGACATTAGCCTCTAAGATTGCCCAAATGGAAAAGTCCATCACATTGAGATCCGGTGAGTTTGGAGGCCATTCATCCTTGGTGATCACTGAGGGAAAGTTGGCCACACACCAGTCCTCAACCGTCTTCTTCGTGTGAGCGGGAGCTCCATCTTGCATGAAGGTCCAATTTTGATTGTTATTGGCTTTACACGCTCATGACACGCCCGTTTTCCTGTTTGGAAAACGGTCTTTGAACTCTTGTTGCAATAATTATGACGCACCCTGTATTTACAGTAACCCAAGCTTACCACTAAAACATTTAACTTAAAAGAAACGTCTAAACGTCTAAACGTCTACAAACCATCGGATTACGGTAGCTGGGGCATTCTTTAGGGTGGCTGATATCTAATATCTGTATAAAAAGAATAGATGATCTATCTCGAGAGTCATTCTTTTCATTCTTTCTTCATTTTCAGATAGCCTTGTGTTCTCTCATCAGTCCATGGCTATTTAAACAATTCTTTGTCCCATTCGGAATGTTGGGAGTTCATCGGAAACGAGTCGAAAATTTCCAAAAAAGACATATATAATTTTGTTTTTTCTCAGCTAACTTTGTGATCTAGTTTTCAATACCAAATCTTGCATTTAAACGACCAAATCATTTTTTAAAAAAAAATTCATTTATCCACCAAATACCCCACTCACTCATTGATCTTACAATGTGCATTTTGAGAAATTTAGATAAATTGTGATTGATTGATTTATTTATTTGTTTGAAATCACCAACGACGAACAGATTTAGCTTTTGTTGATCGACGGGGGCAATGACAATAATTCGCATCCTCGCCTGGGATACCCTAGAAATAGATTTGATATTGATTGATTTGATATTGATTGATTTGATTTGATAATGAGATTTGTTATTGCTCGAATAGCAGCTTCGTTTTGAGCACGATTTACTGTACATTTATGGGGACTTTTGAGCTCGCTCGCAGTCGTTTACCACTCTCAAAATTGGTTTATGAAAAAAAAATCGTCAAGAAAGCACTGTATCCTAGCTACTAATCCTAGTTTTACTTGATGTCTTTGTGAAGCCTCTCGGAATCAGATCAAAGACCAAAAGTTGAACAAAAACTAGACAAGATTACGGTAGTTTTTAATAAATTGACGCATTTTAGGAAAGAGGGACACACTCATTCTGCCTGGGGATTGTTGGAAATTTGATTGTGGTCCCGTCTCTTCGCCTTTGGCAATCCAACTTTGAACTCAAATTTCCTGGTGTTGGGCTTTTCAATTTGAATAATTTTTGTATCAATCGATAGAGAAAGTCTTGGCGCATCTAATGATACCAAGAATATTTAAATTCGACAGCTCAACACCAAGAAATTTGAGCTCAAAGTTAGATAGACAATGGGAAAAGGGGCCGCGTATCAAATGTCCGATAACCGAAAAAAAACGAGAGGCCAGGCCGGATCTGAAGCTAGGTTGACTAGTTAAAGTTTTGAAGACTAAAACACCACTTACATCCAGCCCAGGCAATCCAGGATATCCATCAAATCCAGGTTGTCCACTCATCCCCATCTCTCCGCTCATCCCAATCATTCCCGGTTCACCCAATTTCCCATCATCACCCGGATAACCGTTTTGCCCGGGCTGCCCGGGTTCTCCACGTATTCCCGGCTCGCCAGCAAGTCCCTGAAATTTTCCTCTTTTATTGGCTTCAGAATTTCAACAACTTGTCGAATTAACAAGCCAACCTTTTCCCCTTTGACTCCATCCCTTCCCGGGATTCCGCTCTCTCCATCTTTCCCTTGTACCCCATCCTCTCCCGTTTCTCCCATATTTCCTTGTATTCCCAATCCTCCATTTCGTCCTTTCATTCCCGGTTTTCCCATTTCTCCAATCATTCCCATCTCTCCGATATCTCCCGGATATCCAGGTGGTCCCATCGGTCCTTTCGGACACTCGCGGCAGCCACGAGCGTAATATTTTCTCTCGAAATGTGGTGTAATGCCTGGTCGTCCGATTTCTCCGTTCATCCCGGGCATTCCCGGTACTCCATCCATTCCCTGGTCACCAGATCGACCGCGCGGACCAGCCGGGCAGGGATTCTCATAGGCGCAAGCTGAAAAGGTTATATTTTTATAAAGTTTGCAAAAGACATTTTTGAGTAACGTATTACGGTTTGAAACATTCAAATTCTGGGTCGAAATCTTATTTAAACTGCTGAATCTTTTAATCCAGAAACCATAATTCCAAATGATTTGCGAAATAACCATAACAAGAGGAATAACAAGAGGAATAACAAGAGGAATAACAAGACGATTCGCGGCTGGGTTCGATTGACTGGCGTTTATAGAGAAAAGATTTTTAGATTCTTAATAATTTTATCGATGATATGAAAGACACGGGTCGGAGATCAACAAAGTGGAAAGACCGGGGGCTAAATTGAACTTTGCGCCGATCTAGATCTAGAGCCAAAATACATTCAAAACCATTTTTTTTTACTTTACTATGCCTAGTTATGAACCACAAAAACAATGAGAGGGAAATTTTTAAATTCGACTTTTTGTTTCGACCTTTTCGACCGTAAAGTTTAAATTAGCCAGACCAGCAAAAGTACAGAAGCCTTAAAACCTGAAGAATTTTAAAAGAAACAGAGAAATAAGGGTGGAAACACTAAAAGAATGAGGATAATTTTAAGAATAAACAAAAATAAACAATAACCAATAAAAAAATAAACAAATTTTATAACGGGAAATGGTATCCATTTTGTTATCTATACAAAATTTTGCTATTAGGTTCTGCTAGCAGAATTGGGAGCAAAGCGAGAAGCACATTGAGTCCACTATGGTGAGCAATGGCAAAACAAGCCGCTCTATAATCAGAGAAGATGAAGCAACTCTTGTTCAATACGGGATAGAAAAAGAAGAACAAGAACGTGTAAAGAAGAAGAACAAGAACGTGTAAAGAAGAAGAACAAAAACGCGTAAAGAAGAAGAACAAAAACGCGTAAAGAAGAAGAACAAAAACGCGTAAAGAAGAAGAACAAAAACGCGTAAAGAAAAACAAACACGCGTAAAGAAGAACAAGAACGCGTAAAGAAGAACAAAAACGCCGAAAAAACACGGCGAAGCGTCGGAACGAATAGCGATTTTTTAAAAGAAAGAATTTTCAAGGGAAAAGAGAGACGCCGTCTCGACTACGGTAGCTTAGGTGCACTTTAGAATTTCGGCCATTTTGGCAAGTTGCCAACCCGTACTCGAACGGCGAAAATTGGGGGCTTTTTCTGTTGCCAGGATTAGATTACGTATTTGCAAAACTCACAACAAATTCCATATACATACGCTTGCCTCTTCGCAATTCTTGGCGCACGAAACGCATCGAAACTCTTCAATCCAAGCCTCACCTCATTCTCGATCATTTCAAACTCGTCATTATGTACCTGATCTCTTTATCTTCTTTTTTTCTTTAAATAAACAAACTTGTAAATTGATTTTGATTCCCTCAATATCATTTGCAATCTTTGGGAAATAGATGACATTCAAGAAAAGTGCTCCAAATGACATGAAAATTGCTGCAAGACATCCACAAACACCCGGATCTTTCATTGTCGTCAAGAATTGTCTTCAAGAATCGGCTAGAAATAGAAAGTCGAGGTTAGAGATGGAAAAGAAGAGATAAAAGAAGAGATAAAAAGAATATTTCGAATATTTATATAAAAAGAATATTTAGAATTAGAAAGATGAATCAAAAGATGAATTTTTGAATACAAGAATTAGGTTCAATGATTAGTTTCAATGATTAGATTCAATGATTAGTTTCAATGATTAGGTTCAATGACTAGATTCAATGATTAGTTTCAATGATTAGATTCAATGATTTGGTTCAATGATTAGGTTCAATGATTAGTTTCAATGATTAGGTTCAATGACTAGATTCAATGATTAGTTTCAATGATTAGATTCAATGATTTGGTTCAATGATTAGGTTCAATGATTAGGTTCAATGACTAGATTCAATGATTAGTTTCAATGATTTGGTTCAATTCACTGTGCTCTTTAGGCAAAAAATTTGAAACACAACCTTTCTTGTGCACTTTAAATTATTCTTTTTGTTTATTTATATTTTGTATATGTTTATTTTGTATAAAATAAAGTTGCTAAAAAAAAAACAAAGAATTTAGTGCACTAGAAAGGTTTTGTTTTAGAGTTTTGAGTATCTTGTCTTATTTGGTAACAAAAAGCATCGAATCGAATGGAATCAAGAGTTGGTAGAATGGGCAAAGGCAAAGATTACAGCCAAACTGCTGTAATCTAGGCAAAGATCTAGGCAAAGATTACAGCAGTTTTCCAACTTGTTAGTTTCCAATTTAGTTCTCCAATTTAGTTCTCCAATTTAGTTCTCCAATTTAGAAAATCCATTCCTCAAAAGGGAACACTGAATAGAATTGAACTCACCTCACAAACACTGAATTGAATACTCGATTGTGTAACCGCCCAACGCCCAGTACCTTTTTCTATTTATATGGCAATTTCTCGACAGAATGAGCTGGTTCTCAGGAAAGGAAAATGAAAAAAAAAGAAGAACTAACTGTCACCAATCTCATTCTCTTGTTCTTTCCTTTTTTCTCTTTTTTCTTAGCTTGACAAGAACCACCCAATGCAATTAACTTTTCTTCTGATCGAGACAAAAAAGAGAATACAACGAATACAATCTCCCGAATACAATCCCCCGAATACGACCCCCACTTTTCTCCATCGACAACAAAACAACGATCGACGAACGGCTAAATGAGTCGATCGTAATTTTACAATTCCACTTTCACTTCATTGAGATGAGGCTGACTTCTCTGGGAATAGAAAAGAAATGTGAAAAAGTTTTGCAAAGTTTTGGATTCCGATTCCGATTCGGATCCTCCTAACAAAAACAAAAAAACAAAAGAACTCGAACCAGCGACTAATCGTTGGCAGTTCGAACAAGTCCACCTATGCCTATCACCGTGAATGACTGAATGTAAAGTGAGTATTTAAAGATGGAATAATCAATCTCTATTGCGATGGCTATTGCAAAAATTACAATTTTTCAAATAAAAGTACTCAAATCTCTCGATTTTAGACACATTTACTATCTTCTGCCGCTCTTTTTCGATTCGAAATTGCCAGAAAAGGCATTTGCCTTGCCGATTGCTTTGGCTTCTTCCGAATTCGGTCCCTCACTCGCTTGATGTTTGTCTTTGTGACGACAGTTGAGCGTCTACCGCTTCTTGGTGCATCAGCAATTGTTCCCGTAGCCTAAGCCTGAGCCTGAACCTAAGCCTAGCCTAAGCCTAGCCTAAGCCTAAGCCTAGCCTAAGCCTAAGCCTAGCCTAAGCCTAAGCCTAGCCTAAGCCTAGCCTAAGCCTAGCCTAGCCTAAGCCTTACCCAGGGCCCCGCCCCCAAAATTTGGCTTGTCCCCTCCTGAATATTTTTTCTGGATACGGGCCTGCTTCGTAGCGTTGAACAGTGTGGAAAATGCAACCTTTGTCGACTTTAAGACGCTTGTGAATCGCTTATGAAGCTTATGAAGCTGAGACTTCTCGCTTGTGCGATTCGATGATCGATTGTCGATGGGAGCATTTTCCAGTCATTCTAAAAACACATTTTATATGACAAAAAGTTTCAATTAGTTTCCAAATATAATAAAAACACAAAAAACACAAAAAAAAGCCCAGAAATAAAGCTTAAATCGACGAGTTATTGTCCTTGAACACGTTGCTGTCGTTATTGGAGTTTGAAATAGAAATTGAATCGTTATTGAACACGTTATTTTGTTGCGACAATTCTGGCTGTATCTAGTGTCCAGTTTTTCTGGTAAAGCAAATTAAACCGCAACAATTGAAACTTAAAACATCCACATGTAGTCTACGCATACTTTATTGGATTCTAAAGAGCAATCAACGACACTTAGCATCAATCATTTTGGAAATCGTATTGAAGCATCAATCATTTTGGAGATTGTATTGAAGCATCAATCATTTTGGGAAATCGTATTGAACCCATAAATTTAGCCTGGTAAAACACTAAAGATCAGCTTCGTTTTTCACAAATTACCACATAATTCCCCATAATTTCCCCATAGTTTCCATTTGAAAAGTGATTCACACTTATTGTTTTCTTCGCGAAACGTTCTTCACAATTCTTTTAAAGCTTTGAAGCTTAGAGCTTTGAAGCTTAGAGCTTTGAAGCTTAGAGCTTTGAAGCTTAGAGCTTTGAAGCTTAGAGCTTTGAAGCTTAGAGCTTTGAAGCTTAGAGCTTTGAAGCTTAGAGCTTTCTATTCGATGGACGATTTCTTTCCGAATTTGACAAGCCTTGCTCGGAGAGAATTTGATCATTTCAATAATTCAATCGAGATTTTCGTTATGGCAATGGTATGGAAGCTTTAAAAGTAGGGCAAAATAGAAAACTCAACACTTATGAGTTGACCTACCGTAATCACTTTTCTATGATGCGCTAAATGGGGATTGCACTAAAATGAAACCGATGTTGGTGAATAAACTGATTAAATATTAAATAAACTGATTAAATATTAAATAAACCGATTAAATATTAAATAAACTGATTAAAAACAGAATAAGCTACCGTAAAAACTCTAATAGCCCTTCTCCAATCTTTATTTTATTATCAAGCTTTTTATAATGTAACCCAGAAATTACCCTAATAGGTATTTTATTAATTTTAACATTTTCTTTTTCTCTAATGCACCTTTTCTTGCTTGTTTTTGCCTATTCAAGATTGTAATTTGGTACTTTGGTGGTTGGGAGGAGCCACTTTTCGCTTGCTTAGTCGAATCTAGTGTTTTAAGTGGTTCGTATCGATACTTTTCTTCGATTCTGAAGAAAGAGATATATGATGAAGCAGTTGGTGATAATTTAGCACGATAGCAATTAAGCACGTGTTTCATAATCCTATTTGATGATTTGCTCTGTGTGCTAGCGCAATTGGAGGAAAGTGCATCGAAACAAAAGGAGTCAAAGAGGCTTTCAATAGGCTTTCAACAGGCCATGAGAAGACCAGAATAACTGAACCAGAATAACTGGACCAGAATAACTGAACCAGAATAACTGGACCAGAATAATGCTCACTGGATGTTTGGAAGGATTCAAGTGGTTCTTCTCAATCGAATACGCCTAGACCCGAACATTGAGAAGAAGAGAAGAAGTCCAAAGGAGTGCTTCACTTGATATGGGCTGGAAAAACATGGGTCGACGATTCGCTCACTTCAATTTACTTGGATCGGTCGAGATCGATCGATCGTGAGAGGATCGATCCAGAGAGAGGATCGATCCAGAGAGAGAGGATCGATCCAGAGAGAGAGGATCGATCCAGAGAGAGAGGATCGATCCAGAGAGAGAGGATCGATCCAGAGAGAGAGGATCGATCCAGAGAGAGAGGATCGATCCAAAGAGAGAGGATCGATCCAGAGAGAGCTCTCTTTCGATGATTGATTTGAATGAGGATGCAAAAAATGAAATATTGACGCCAGTGATGCCTTGATTATGAACGAATTTCTTTAGAAATCTTAAAGCTAAACTAAACTGCGTAATGTTCACTTTTCATTGCATTGTTTATGTTTTCTTGTTGTTCAATAAATTTAGAAAAAAAACGTTTTGAAGTTTTATGCGGGGTTTTGACCAGAAAAAGAAAAAAATTTGACCAGAAATCTATCAAATTTGTGGGCTTCTATTAGAGTTTTTACGATATTTGACTTTTTCAAAAGTAGAAACACTTCCATTAGTTTCCAGTTTCCATTAGTAAAACTTGAGTTCGGTCTTCTCGGCAGCATCGCTGGCTTTCTTGGCATTGTGACGGTGAGGAGGACTTCGTTTGCAGGTTTAAAATCGAATCCTCTCTCAATAAATGTTATTTTTCATCTTTGAGACCTAGTCAAGCACTACATGTTAGTGGATCTCTCCAACTACACAATCGTCAACTTTTGTCATCTTTTTTGGGCGGTGCCATGTGCTACTTTGTGAATTTAAAGATTTCAACCTTTTTTAAATCTTCAATTCCAGTACTCTCACCACAACTGTCCCATTTGTCGATCATTTCTTTGCAAACCTGGCCAATGCTGCTTCCACACAAAAGTTGACGCCAAAAGTGATTGAGTCTTTTGAATTTAATCGCATTTCATAGCTGCCGAGCATTTCATAGCTTTAAAAAAAAGTTTTTCAAAGATTTTGCTCGGCATCAATCGCCTCTTCGCCATCTCTTTCAATGGCCTTTACTACAAGAGTTTCGAGCGAACAAAACTTTTACAATATTTTATTTTAATCGTACAGCCTCTCAGCACATTTTTAATGCTATTTCTTCGTGAGTTTTAAAAGTTTACAAAAGAAAATCTTAATTTTAGCCACTTGCAACTGCATTTACTTGCCCTATGGAGTAAACACGTTCATTTTCGAGGGCAAGTGTGGGTACACGATTTTGTATTGGTCAATGGTGAGTGGATTTGCTACAACTATATCCACTCGAACTTCCCTATAACCCCCCTCTATACAATCTGTCAAAAAATTATAGACGCCCCCTGTTTTTTGGTAGTTTAGAGCCGGAGCTAGTTCATTGAAAAGTAT